ACTGGCTATTCGTCGCTTGGCTCAAACCGCGTAGATGCGGGAACTGTGATTGGCTGATCGAAACGTCGAAATCCGCGTCGGTGAGCCTTTGGGAAAGTGCACTTCGACGCGAGCTAGTCGGCCAGGCACGACCCAATACATAGGCGCGCATCTTATCGAAAAAAATTAATTGCACGTTCATCATATTCTCGATCGTAAGTGACAAAAAGAACGAGCCCGTGGTGCAATCGTAGACTATTGCACTCAATGACCAAAGGTCCTGCGTTCGAATCCCGGGAGCACCCTCCCCTGCTCCTTGGGATTGGGTATGATTGGCTGATAACGGTCAATAAGCCAGAAATGGCTATTCCGATCTTCCTTGTCTCTGGCGGCTCTATTCCATCATACCTTCATAGTTTGCGAGGTTTCTGATTATCCGAAACAATTAGACGCGAAAGCAGCAATTCAAAACTACAATGCCGGTTATATGTCTTATATATCTGACTTGCCATAAAATTAAACAGGTAGAAGGCCGTCGTCACACTTGGCCTTTCAAAGCATAGTTGCTATTCTTTGGCCTATGTGACAATTAACCAAAGTTATGGATAGATATTATTGCCGATAAGGTTAAGGGGTGACTGGAATGGCCATTTCTGGCTTTTTAGCTGTCATCAGCCAGTCATACCCAATCGCAAGGGTAGGGGGTCGGGTTCTCCCGAACATCGAACCCGAGGCTTTTGGCCCTTGAGTGCAGCACTCCACCATTGCACCACGGGCTCGTTCTCTTTGTCGGTAGTGATCAGGAATATGCCGAATGTGAAATTGTTTTTGTCCAATAAAGGTCAGGCGGTCAGGTGAACGTTCATTAACGAGTGTCAGTACCTCACGACCTATACCGGTGCTTAAATTCATGGCGCGAGGTGGGGCGTCTGTAGCTTAGCCGTTAGAACGTTGGTTTCCGGTAAATACCGTCTCAAATACGCTGCTTCAAATCCCGCTGAACGCCTCGAGTTTTTTCACAATTAGGTCAACTCAAAATAAACTGGTGAGACAACGAGCTAGTGGCTCAATCGTTAGGGCGTTAGACTTCTAATCAAATGGTCGTGAGTTCGAGGCTCAGGTGGGGCTCAGCTTGGGTTTGGGTACAACTGGCTGAAAGCGGCCATGGAGCCAGAAATTGCCATTCCTGTCTCTCTATATCTGTCGTCTTTACCAGCTACCAAAATGGCCTAATTTACGTTAACGCTGCAATAGAAGCCCCCTAGACGGACTGCATGAGAGATGCGCCATGGGGCACCACGGGGCATGGTAGGTATTATCCGGCATGCGCCCCATAAGAAATGGCACAAACATGTAAGACTGTGGGAA